ATCAAAAATTATGAGGCTTGACTGTAAATTGGCCACAATTGACTTTTTCCCCAATACATCTGATTTTTAGGTCAACTGTCCAATTGACTGGGCAAAAATTTAATTCAAGGCTTGAAACTTGGTATTGGCAGTCTTATAAGTCCAACATGAAGTATGAAAGTCACATGAGGCATTGGAAGTCCAAAATCCCTGTGCAAACTCAAACCCTAATTTCAGGTCAACAGTGCAAGGAAATGTCTTGAGCAGAGCAAACCCTAATCTTGTCTGGAGTCCAAAGAGTCTTGTGAGGAAAATCTTGATAAAATGAGAGGGCAAATTTTGGGGTACAACACTATGGATGATCAAAGTATTGTTTCAAATGTCAGTCACAGAGAACAGTCAACATCAAACATCCCAATTTTGCAAATCATGATGCTGATATTTAATTTCTCAATTATCATGTATTTGGTATATTTAATATAATTAAAATAGAAGCTACAAAAAACAATTAATTATCTGACTCATGGTTTTACAAGGAGCTCTAATAGCACTAAAAAGAAACCACGATTAAAATACACAATGAAAAATAAGAATTTCCCTTAAGTTGATCCTTACAAATGGACATGATCATTGATGTGATGCTTATCCCTTGTGTCGATTAACCAATGGTGAAAAATCCAAAGAACAATCATGAATATTGAACGAAGTCCACTTAAGCACAATATATCTTACGGTGTACTGTATTTCACTTAAGTGTAATGTACTTTACGATGTCGTGTATTCCTCTTAAGTAAATTGTACCATACATTTTCATGTGTTCTACTTATGTATATTATACCTTACAGTGTTCCTTATTTCATCTAAGTACATCGTACCTTACAACGTTCCATATTACAAGACCACACAATCAAATAAGCTTCACTTATTTATTTCATCTCTCATATATATATATATATATATATATATATATATATATATATATATATATATATATATATATATATATATATATATATATATATATATATATATATATATATATATATATATATATATATATATATATATATATATATGTGTGTGTGTGTGTGGCCTTGTAGGTTCTTGATACGTAAGCAATTATACTAAATCACATATTTAATATAGTAAATAGTAAGAGGTATCTAGCAACACGTCACATTAACCAAAGTCACGAAAATATCATGTGATCTAATGAAACATCATGTGATAATACTTATGTGTAAAAATACCCTTTTGCCCTCATGTATATATTTAACATAAGGCATAAGTTATATCACCACAGTCCAATTCTATATTGGACCCCTAGACGTTTGTCCTCTTATGCAAGATGGAAATATTTCATCTAGATCACTCATGTCCTTTAACCCATCAACAATCTTTATAATCATCTTTCCATGACAAATGTTTGAACGACAATAAAATACTTGAGTCCGTATTTAGGATCTATAGTGATTCCAGGTTAAAGGATGGAATACACTACTATCATCATGAGAATAAATCATGACATTCGCATAACATTTTATGTAGTATTCCTAATCTTTATATCTATGTGAAGACTTGATAACTTTTTAACCATATTCGTGAGATGCGATCATCAGTATATCTATATAATAGTCTCAATGCTTTAATGTTATCTGACTTCACAACAAATCTTGACTACGGATACTTAAAGAATATTGTCTTTATATTTAATGATATCTCACGATTAAGTCACACTTAATGTTTCTTCAAATAGAAAAACTATTTTAGATTTTATTACTTTGAAAAAACAAAAACATAATAAATATATTCATTATTATTATTATTATTAATATATAATTCGATAAGTAACAAGTTCATATAAAAATTATTAGCCTCTAGGACTTACACTATAAAGTCTACCTTGAAAACCAGAGCTCATATTGCAAACGAATTTGAAGGAAATGTCATAGAAAATGATGTGGGAAATTGACAAACCGTGTGGTCTTCAAAGGGATCGATGTCAAGGATTTTATAACAACCACCAAAATATTATCTTTATTCTGCTTAGGATGTGGTGTTGTTTCCACTTATAAGACCCTCTCCTACATGTTTTCCCTCTTTCGTGAAGTAGAAGATTATTTAGTGGTACAATGATGGGGTTGGAATGTGGAGGAATGTCTTCACGTCCCATTTGATAATGAAGAATCAAATTACTAGTCATTCCTAATTCAAGAAAGGATGAAAGCAAATAACGAAAATAAAAAGAAAGACACTATAAATCACATAACTAAAAATATATTAGAACTGATCGAAGTCTCATTTTTCACTGCGAAAAACAACAAAAAATTGATAAGGTGCAAGGGAACTCGTTCGACCAAGGGGTCAAATTTTTTTAATCATATGATAGAAAGCTAAATTTCTCCTCCTATAACTTCTTAGGTCCAAAACACAACTCTTTTGGATGCACTATGAAATTATCATTTTCCCAGCAATGAAGAAAATGTAGCTCACAAAGCTACTCATGACACATGTCGACTCATGAGTAATTAAAGACAACGGATAAACAACTATAAAGTGACAAGGGAAGTCTTTGACAAGAGAATGAAGAGGTTTAAATAGGGAAGAAGACGGCGTAAAAGTGACCAAGTCAGACTTACTACAGGGAAATTCCCAAGTGATTGAAATATTGCATAAAATACCGTGATCTATGGTCTTATCTGGAGATGGGCACACAAGTGTTGGAAAGATCAAATATAACTCTCGAAAGGAGGACAAATCATAAAAAGAGCCAACATCAGACTCGCCATCAAATAGTTTTCAAACGATAAAGGGGAAATTGGAATTCGTAATCCTTGAAAGTGATATCATACATATGAAACCAGGATAAATGAAACTTTCCAAAAATTTGATGATTTGGATTGAGAACGGTCATGACACATATTCGGGTTTAGTGAAGGTGGTCTGTGAGTCAAAATGATGAAACTCGTCGAGACCTAGATAAATGGACCGACAACCTATATACATTTTTCTTATATTAGCTCCCACATGACCCCAATTCTTTCGAGACGATGAAACCACTAGGAGGAACCCATAAATAATCACCCATGATCACTTGTCCTAGAAAAGGTGTTGGTCAATTGATATTTCCCTATTAAATCCTATGGTTAAAGTTTCTTACAACACCTCTAATAAATGATGTATTTGATGTTTCCACATCGAAAATCAAGCGATCTTACACGCCTAGCCCAACAAATTCAGAAAATAGAATTATATCTCCACAAATCACAACCCCTAGCTCTATATTTAGAGAACCTTGAGAAATTCAATCCTTTAGAAAAATCACCTTCCCTTATTAAAGTAAAAGAGACACAAAGAAACACCACGAAGAAAGAAACCAAGTTCATATTCACAAATACAAAAAAAATCGCCTAAAAGAAGGAATCACCACAGTAATCAAGAGTTGAAGATGATGTAACTAGAGGAGACGTAAATTTTCATGAAAGATAAGAAGGCTAAAAGATAAACACAACAAAAGTAGTGATATATATATATATATATATATATATATATATATATATATATATATATATATATATATATATATATATATATATATATATATATATATATATATATATATCGACACACGGCCTGCGAAAACCTAGATAGCTATATTTTCTACGACGCAATAATTAGACATGGTGACTAGGAAAAAAGACGCCTCAAGCCTACAAACAATAGAGAAATGATAAAATATGTCATGATAAACGACAAAAGGAATCAAGTAGCCCAGATCAAGGTAAAACTTGACCAAAATCCAAGATACAACTCAGAAACATGACTGATGCTCAAAATCTAAAAGTAACATAGTAAAATGAAGCTTGATCCATAGCGCACTTCAGGGTGAGAGAAAGGGTGGATTAGGGATCAATAGAAACTAAAAAATATTGAGCCTTAAAAAAGTAGACAGTGACTATTCAGAATCACAAGCCACATCTCGACTATGTCGAAGTAGGCTTGAGGGGAAACTATTCATACCAGTCTCGATCCCACAACATAAGGAGCCCAATATAGACAGAAAGTCCAATAAGATAAAGACACTTAAGGTAGAATGACGTCAAGTCACACGACATAAGAAAAAAAGTCAACCTTAATATTGATTGTCCAACATAACGTTTTAGAACCTGAAGAATAGACATAAACTTTACCTCTAAAAGCACCTGATCCAATCAAGCAATTAAAGCATGATCATGAGATAACAACAAACTATCTCGACATCTCCTTTAAACTTTATACCTCTCATCTGATAATGATAATCATTAATATACGACCAGACAACGACAAGATTTCTAAACCAAGAATTGCAACTATGTAACATACTCGACATCAAGAAAAGCTTCATAAAAGAAAGAAATAAGCATTGTTTTCCAAATTCAAAGTTGTCTAAACTTGTAATACCTATAGTGATATATATGCTCATATACTAAAAAGTCTATTGATAATTCAGACTCTCAACTTAATTATAAAGCAAAAGTAATTGCCATGCCCAAGATTAAATTAACAATGCTGTTTAAGAAGCAAATGACTGGGGTTTTTATTTATGAAAAGTGACTAGGAATTTAGACCAAATATTGTAATTCCAATGTTGAGCTAGAAAAATTTTAAATTATTTTTGTAGAAACTAAAAGTTGTGTTTTTATTGTAAGATCGACACTAGATCTCAGATTTGTTGTCAATGACAAATATCAATAGCGTCCCTATGTTTTAAAAACTATTTGCATCAGATGGCATAGAAATATGACATTTAAATTGTCTACCCCCCTTTAGATCACATGTAGTGTTTCACGCCAAACCAGATTCTTAAATTCAAGTAGTTCATAAGTGGTCCAAATTACTACAATATTGAGCATCTTGTTCACATACATGCAAGAAAATACTGATGTATGATGTATCCATCAACCGTTAATAATACATGTAGGTACAAAATGTAAATAAGTTTCTTTAGGCTTCAAACAACCCAAGTCTTTAACATAAGGGTTTTATTTCATGTATTTGTGCAGGAATTTCCTATGAAAATCATTCCTGATGGTGTCATTGATGAATCGCTTAGCCAGCTTGGTTTCACCACGGGCTTGATTTTTAAAGACCACATCATCATCCCACCTAAGTTAAACAAAAGTTATAAAAATGAGATCATGACAGCCTATTAATGGATTTTAGATATTAAAAATTGAATCAATTCAAACTTTAAAGTGTCATTGAAAATTGCATATCACTCCTTCCATAGTATATTATAAAAGCACAAACAAGTGCCCTTAAAGTATTGTTTAAGGGCAGACAGTTCGATAAATATCTAGATTCAAACCTTCTTTTGACATTGAAAGATGTAGGATTATTTATCAATGGGTTTCCACGCATAAGCTCTGCTTCTTTTACTTTTAGATCTTCCTCTTGCTGTTGCCGTTCCTGCACAAAAACAATTAATATTTTATTCCTTATGTAAATAAGGGTGATTCACATTTGGTCATAACTTCAAAAATATATAGGAACCAGCTAGCAAAAGTTTGCTTACTAAAATACCAGTGTTACGAACCGACATGTAAGAACTGAATGGTTGATATAGCAAACAAGTGCGCGTTTCTTATTGATGAGTGAAGTTTGAACATGGAAGAAGAGAATTCTCCAGGTAGGATTTCCCCTTTCACAAAAATATTCTAATTTTCAAAATGAACCTTTTTGCCCTTCCTCTAGACCCGTAGTTATCTAATCTAGTAAACAATATCACTTCTAAATTTTTAAGGGCTCTAACTATCCTCAACTGATTCTAACTAGTTTCTCTAACAGTTCTCCTCACTTATATTTTCAGAGAGGTTATAGAACAAGTTGCTCTAACAGTTCTCTCACTTCTATTTCCACTTTCAGAGGTAATAAGCTCAACAACTCATCTTCAATGGCATGTCATTAAAAAGTTAAGTACAAAGCAGGAATAATGTTACCTTGCGTAGCTTTTCCTCTGCCCTTTCCTTCTTTATTTGTTCAAGCTCAGCCAGCAAAGCTTCAGTGTCATCTTCATCGTCATCATCACTGACAGACAGACACAACATTAGTTAATGTAAGATGTAAGAAGGAACTTGTCTCATTCCAAGCATTGATATAAGATGTTTAACTTCAAATCAAACACCGACAAAGATTATTATCTAAATGAATCAAGAGCAACTTGGCTTACAAAAATCATCACAGAAAACAATGTGCTGGCTAAAAAAATTCATTAGGTGTGCCATTTATAGGGGGAAGAAATTTCAAAACGGTACCCCTCCATATGATAGTATTTCATTACATTACCTAATAAGTATACATAAAATATTGACCACGCCCAAATGCTGATAGAAATAGCACGCATATTGATGCACATATGCTCAAGTATATGCTCAAAAGCATGTCTAAATAAAATAACAACTCTTGATTATTCCACATATCCTAAATGACCTATAATATAAACAAGAACTTCAATTACACACATGGTTGTATTACTGTGTCTTTGTATTAATATAGTAATATATATACTAGTGTACATGCACATTAACATTTTTTAAATCCGAGTTCAATTTAATTCAATTCTGTTACACATACACATCAAAGATACAGTATATAAACAATTGATCTTGTTTACATGAAGAGTATGCAAAATTATCAAACCTTTCATCATCACTGTTGACTTCAACATCGGAATCATCTGCATCAACACTGCGCGGAACAATGTGGTCTTCAAAATCTCTTTTTGTTCCTGGTAAAATAAAGATGCATCAAATTAATAGACTGAATATGAATACTTTATAGCTTCTTTCTTTATCCCTTTTTACTTCTTTTTCTTGGATGATAATTGGAAGACCATGTCAATGTGCAAAGTAATGAAATTAGTGAATCATTACTTAAAAATAGTAGAAAAAATACCTTCCAAAAATAGATGACTACCCTTTCCATGATCTCTGTCATCTGTCAGAGTATAGAATAGAGTCAGTTAAACATTTTACAATTGGCAATAAAAATGAAAACTTGTCTCACAAAAAAAGATGGAATTCAAATGCTACAAGCAGAACGTTGCAAGACATTAGACATTGATAGTTCTTAGTTTTTACCATTATAAAATTTATTTTTTGATGAGAAGTGCCTCCGTTCACGTTCATCCAGTTCATCACGTAAGTTTCTTCTCTTTAATTCATCCTGGGTATCCTGGCCATCTTTCCTAGATAAGTTTAAACACAAATTATTAGGGAGGAAAATAAAACAAGTGGCATGAGCAAAACTGCACACTGATGAGAAACATTGACAGCATGTAATGAGCAGTGTGGCATCATAATCATTTAAAGGAGAAAAGCTGTCATGTTTCACATATGACTTGTCATTAGAAATAGATACATCATTAATTTCGGATAGCGGCATAGTGGATAGCAAGATGACCGCTATAGTGAGCTTTAAAAACCAAGGTAAATAGATAACATGAATACGTAAATACTTAAAATAAGTTTCAACAACCTTAAAAATAATACCTTAAAAACAGAAGTTGCAACAACATACATAAATTCCAACAGCACCATCAATATAAGTTCCCATCAAATTCAAATTATAAATGTACTTGAAATGTCAACCTATGTCAATATCGTCACCAGTATGTTTTAAGAAAAAACTTTGTTGTTGGAAGTTTGTGTCACACTTGCAGAAGATGATGCACATGGTTGCTAATAAAAGAGAAACAGTGCAACAGAGCAAAACAAAGGAGAGGTACAGAGCAAAACAGAGGAGAAATCATACGTAAATGGATGAAAAAGGTGAAAAAATAGATGAATAGGTGAAGAACGGTGATGATTTTGGAAGAACAGTGGAAGACTTGCTGATTTACGAAGAACAATGTCGAAGAAGGAGGCTTTCTGAAACGCAAACAGGTGACTGAAGAGGGAAACGGCAATAGAACACGTGAAATGACCTAACGCAAACACTTGTTTTGTTATATTATATTAAATTAAAGGGTCAAATGTTATATTAGATTAAATAAAAGGGTTAAAATACCAATTTGGCCTTAAAATTTGAAACGCGTCTTGCAAACCGCTACATAACCGTGATTGCACTGCCATGATGCCACAAATTGCGGCCGCTATCGCAGCTAAGCTGCCAGTACTTAGAAGCCCAAATCAGGTCCAGCTCCGCTACACTAGGCCGTTATAGCACACTATCAACAACCTAGTGTGAGAGGAGATCAAAACTTTTTAAATTAATTTCCTGAATTAATTAAATTACCAGACCAAAACTGTAACTAAACTTTTACCCAAAGAGTAAAGAAACTATTTCAAACACAAATCGGGATGCATGTTGATGTAGTTCATGGAGTACAGTTGCCGATTTCCCGCAAGGAGCAATCAAGCACTCAAGAGTACGGTTTTCAAACAAAAGCGAAAAATTAAAAACAATAGGAATTCAAATTCCTCACAGTTGCAGATTTCCATCAAAATTATCATTGCAACAACTTCATGAATCAATTGAATGGGACATTCTATATGAAATTGCAACACCTATCCAAATTATCGATTCCTAAAATAATTAAAAAAACTATAACGAACATCAAGAGATTTCCATTAAAAAACTACAGATTATGACAACGAACGATAAATCCAGCAACAAATTAGTGAGCCGCAGAAATTACACAGTAATTAGGTCTAACGATGCAATTAACTTAACCTAATCAACCCAAACTAATTAATATTATGAAAATCAAATATCAAAAGAAAATTGTGGGAAAAAACCCTACCTGGGTTTGAGAGTGGTGTGGGAGGCTATGTCTCTTGAGGAGTACTTCTGGGAAGGACCGAAAATTCGAGTACCGCCCTGTTCATTTCCACCTTTAGCAGGAGCCCATGTGGGTCTGGCCGCGGTGGTCATCGGATCGAGGTGAGAACGGAGGTTTGACGGAGAGGAAGAAAGAGATCGAGGTTGGGAACAAGGGTTTCGGGAAGAAAGAGAAAATGAATGGGTGAAAGGGAAATTGTTTATTTATACTATATATTAAGAGAAAATCTTTTTTTAAAGATATCGCACTTAGGTGTAAATCAATATTATACGTACAATCGATCAAAATTTTTATAATTATTTTAATTGAATATATGTCTCTTATTAGTGGACAGTATAAAAATATTAATAATTGCTATTGACCATATCTTTATAAATATGGTTTATCTTGCAATTTTAAGAGAATTTCGAAAAGAATAATATAATATTATTTTTTCTCTCCTTCATTTCATTTCTATATTGTTTTAGGTAATTTGTGAGTGATGATATATAGACAAATTCTATGTTAATTTTCTACTTTTAATATGTTTGAACAAATATAATATAATTCATAATTTTGTTATTATTTTTTTCATATAAATATATTTATTTTTTTAATATATATTTTGTAGAGAAATTTATTTATCTTGTAAAATCATATTACATTTTTTGATATTTTGTAAAATTTGGAAAGAATTTAACATTAAAGCATTTCTATATGATTGTCCAAAATTGAATTTTAACACATCAAAGTGTTAATCTATTCTTGATTAATTTCAAAATAATTTAACATTCTAGTATCCTTGAATGATTGAACGAAGAATAGTTTTTTTTATATCGTTGTTTATGAAAATAATTTGTGGTGTGGTTTTTGTAGAACTAAAATTTAGATTATTGTATTTATCAATAATTGATGAATATTAGAAAAATTCAACATTCAAGCCTCTTTAAAAGATTACATCTATAATATTATTGAATCATACAAGAATTACATTTATAATATTAATGAATTCCAGAAAGATTGCACATATAATATTAACGAATCTCATAAAGATTGCATCAATTATGCTAAAATTAGAAAAATGATTACGTCAATAATATTATGAAATTCTAGAAGGATTGAATCAATAATAGTGAAGTGTCTCAGAAGGATTTCAGAAAGAAATTTGATTTTTGTAAATATTTGTAACATAAATTTTTTTAGAAATTAAATGATCCAAATTTTTTTCTTACTTTTATAGTATACATCCTTGAAGGATTGCAAATATTATAATTTTTCTTAGTAAAACAAAGCTCTCAGATACATATTTTTTGTTTGGCTTAATTGCAACTTTGGTCTCTTTATTTTGTATTTTTTTTTTGGCCCCTATTTTAAAAATCATGATTTTGGTCCCCTTTTGAGTTTTTTATTGAAAAATAAACAAAAATAGAGACTGAAATTATAGAAAAAAACAAAATAGGGGGACGAAAATTGCACAAAAAACTTTAAAAAGGACTAAAATAGTGGTTTTTAAAATGAGGGGACCAAAATCGAAAAATAAAATAAAATAGAGAGACCAAAGTTACAATTAAGCCTTTTTGTTTTAGTTTCATAAAATATATTAGTTATTTTGTCTATTATATCTTATTTGACAAGAAAAATATCAATTGTGATTTCCATGCATCATGAAGATTGCACGAATAACATTCACCCCTAGAAAGATTGCATGAATTATGTTAAAATATCCCTGAAAGATTTCACACATTTTTGTGTTTCGATGTAAAAACTTGTAATATTCCTATCATAATTCTTTTTCTAACATTTGACTATGTTAGAAACTTCTTAAATTTGTTAGAGTATCATTTGCTGCATAATTGAAATTATAAATTTATATATTTCATCTTATTGATAATATCTAACATTTATTTCTTAACTATTGTCTGAATTTTTATGTGTCATAGTTTAATATTTTTGATGTCATTGATTACAAATAAAAATTGTATTACATTGAGAAATCACAAGTGTCGTGACTCTTATGTTATTTAGAGCTTCTTTTTTGCTCTCAATAGATAGTATATGGAATTTTTTGCTCCTATAATTGTCATGGTTGAAGATTTTGATGTCACTAAGGAAAATTATTTTACTTTTGAATCACAAATGTAATTCATTTTAATGTAATTTTGAGTAGGGTGGCAAAATGGGTCGTGGCCCGTCAGGCTGGCCCGCGCACCCATCATAAAATGGATGGTTCGGTTGAGATTTTGGACCTGCCGCCCACTAAAATCTGTTGCATTAAAGATCATCGTCCGCCAAAGTTCGCCCCGCCAAAATCTGTCGCGCCTATTCGTTTAGCTTGTCCCACCTTAAGCCCTCCTTTTTTTAGTTAATTATAGTAGGTCCAATTCTTGATGCATTTATTTGTGAATATATGCAATAGTTTTTAAGTAAATTTTGTTAAAAAGATACTTTATAAAAAATTGTTCTAAAAAATAAGTGAAAAATCTAATTGAAATGTAAAAATAAATAAATTAATATATTAAAAAAATAAAAATAAAAAATTAAAAAAGTAACTAGCAAGTCTGCCACCCGTCAACCCGCCATCTTGGTGGAGCGAGTTAGATTTTTATACCTATTTCCACTTGGCGAGCTTGACTGTTCCACTTTTTTAGCGGGCTTAAGGCCGAGTAGAGCGGGGCGGGAGGACGACCTAACTTTATGTGTGTGTGTGTGTGTGTGTGTGCGCGCACGTGTGTGTGTGTGTGTGTGTGTGTGTGTGTGTGTGTGCGTGTGTACGTGTGTGCGTGTGTACGTGTGTGTGCGTGTGTACGTGTGTGCGTGTGTACGTGTGCGTGTGCGTGTGCGTGTGTGTTGCAAATTTTTATCACTATTATAGTTTTTTAAAAAGAAAAAAATTGAAATTTTTATTGGAAATAACTCTCAGTTACTTGACTTATTGGATTTTAAGTTATCACTGTACTAAAAATTATCATGGATAGTGTTTTAAGAATTATTTCAATTAAATTACATGGAAGTGACAAGAAATATAATGAAGGTATTGAATATATTCGTATTACAAAATACAATTCAGACACAAAATATGTAATAAAAAAGCTATAAGCTTTCTCCTCTAACTTGTACTACACTTATATTAGTATCATTGAAGCACGTTCTATTGTAAACTAGAAGTTTATAAATAATAACAAATATGTTATTTGGCATGCTTGGTTGAGTCATTCAGGTTATATAATGATGCGAAAAATAATTGAAAGTTCATGTGCTCATCAATTAAAGAGTTCGGAAATTATTCAATCAAATAAGTTATCATGCAACTCTTGCTTGTAAGGGAAGTTGATAATTCGGTCATCATCAATGAAAATTAAAAATGAATCTTCAATTTTTTTAGTGCGTATACATGGAGATATTTGTGGGTCAATATGTAACACTCAATTTTCGATTAATATATTTTAATTGATTTATCTGTGACTTTCTATTGAATTATTATGAATTTGTAGGATTTGATTTATTGTTGTGTAGTTGTGGGGGTGTAGAGAGAGTTAGAGTTGATTTGGATTATTTAGAATTTAGAATAATTAAATAATAGTAATTTTAGTAGATTTATTTAATTGAAAAATAATATTGGTAGAATATTTAATTACTAGATTTAATAGTAAAATAAATGGAATTACAAGGAATTAGGGGTATTATGGTGATTGTGATAATAGGTAAGGGCAAAGTAGGGAGTTTATGTGAGTAAATGAGGATAAAGTTGAAAAATTTAAAACTAAGAGATTTTTTTATTATAAAAAGGAGGTTAGAGTTAGAAGAGACTTTTTGTAGTACGTGAAAAGAACCACAGAGAAAGTTAGAGCAAGAATAAGTGCAAGAGAAGAGGCTAAGACTTTGGGAAGAGAGGATTCTATCAAACCAGAAAGATTCGTTGTTGCTAGGATAATCAGGTAAGGGTGGGAATTTGGTCAATAATAAGGGTATGCTGAAAGGGTAGAATAGGATTGTATATGTTAATTGTTGATGTCAAATTTGTGATTGTTGATGTTGTTGTATGTTGATTGTATGATGAATTTCGTGTATCTTATATGTTTGTAATTTTTTGTTTGGATGATTGAACTCATATTCACCATTATTGCAATTTCAAAGGTTTGGGCATAACCTTAAATTAATGATTGGAAGATTTAATGTTATTAAAATTATGAATTTACTTGAGGTAGTTAGAGTGTTGCATAGGTTATGATTTTCTGAATGTTTTGGTTTTTGTTGTCCTAAGCGTTTTTGTCGGGGAAGATTAGCGAGCAGGCAACGAGAATGAGCTAGCGAACAGGTAGGGAGTGACAACAGAATGAACGTAACTTTGACTCCGTAAGTCCAAATTGAGCATCGTTCGAAGCGTTAGAAATATAAGCTCATAGCTACGCCATGGTAGTGCTTGGTGAATTACTTGAATAATAATTGTATGCTTAATTTAATTATGTTTGTAATGGATTGTATAAATGATTCATGAACTAATGATTTTCCTTAACGGTTTACCTCATAACTTTGTAATCGTAGATCTAAATGATGTGTTGTTTAAAGTGTTAGGAAGCTAACACTCAGAGCTATATCATAGTAGTGATACGTGAATTTTTTTAAAGATTATTCCTATACATACTTTATTGATGAAGTTATTGGTTTAAATGTTCGGTTAATGACTTGTTGCATTGTTGTGATAATATTATGTGATAATAATGTTGTTATGTTGATACTGTTATGATAATGTTGTGAAAATGTTGATGATGTTGTTGTAAGGTTGATGTGCTGTTGAACATGATTGTTGGTTGATAATATTGTTATGATGTGATGTTGATGATGTTGTTGTGATAAAGTTGTTAATGATGATGCATGTTTGAATATATACATGATATGTTATGGTGATTATGTTGTTGGTGGCATACACAGTAAAAAGAAGGGCCAATGTGTATGTGTTATTGTTACATGTTGAGAGTCCATGCATTCATGTTATAGAAACTTCGGTTTTAATTATGTTGATGCCTCGATCCTATGGTGGTGGTTCGAGTGCGAGTAGATAATTTCCTATTATGAGAAATTAGTGAACAGTTGCCTATGATGGCGGTAACGATTT